AACAAGGTCTGCGTCAGGTGCTGGGGAACCAGAGCACCTTGATGAAAAATGGGCTACTGGAACAAGACGGAAAATATATATACATACATATATATTGTAGTGACTTTTGGAACTCAAAGATTTTCTTGTTTTTATTAGAATTTTTTTTTTAGATTAATATCAAAATTCCTTAGTTTTCTTTAGCACATGTTTGAGTTTTGAAACTCAGAAATTAAGAGTTTCNTAATTTCTTACTTTTTAAAATAATTTTCTCTTTTTCCTTAGAACTTTTCTGAGATTAATCTAGAAAATTCTGAGTTTTTTCTAGCACGTTTTTGACTTTTTAAGCTCAGAAAATTCCATGTTTTTCCTTAAAAAAAAAAATTCTGCAATTGATCTTAAAATTTCTTTTTTTTCATGAGAATTTAATCTTTCTGATGAAAACCACCCCAGAAATGAGCAGAACTCTGGGTTCTACACACCCTGGAGATCTGGAAATTTATTTTTGTTCATGAGAAGAAAAAGAAGAATGGAGAAAAGTGCTCTGTTTTCTCCCACCTATTCATCGATTTATTCATCCATCCATTCATTTGCCCACTTATCTTTCTGTCTATCCATCAGTTCCTGCATGGAGGAACTGATGGATAGACAGTTATTGACTTAACTTAGCCATCCATTCATTTATTTAGCCATCCATCCATCTAGGGCTGCAACTAACATTGTCTTAGTAATAAATTGTTTTATTAATCATTCTGATGATTAATCCAGTAATTAGATAAAAAATGGCAGCATTCTGCAGATTTTCACTTAAGCATATTTTTTACAATCCTAAAAATACATACAAAATGCAAATAAACATATAATTCATTTTGCTTTTTAAAAATTAAGAAAATTAACATTTTATTGTCTAAAATACAGAAGCATAGTGAGCGTTTGATCATTTGTAGCAAAATATGCAAAGTAAAGTCAATAATTCCTCAGTATTGATGAAATACTTATTCCATTGGCAGATTATTTCACATACAACAAGACATTTGTCCCATTCTATAAGTGAATAATCTGCCAATGGAACTAGTAGTTCTTCATAAATATTAATGAATTATTGACTAAAACAACCACTTATATCTTGCTGAAAAGTTACTTGTCAGTTTTTGTCTTATTTTAAGTGTAATAAGACATTTGCACTAGAAGCTAGATTAAACATACTTGGTAAGATTTTTTAAGATTTTGTGTTATTTGGTTCTACAAACCAAATAACCTCTGTCTTCTCAATACTGTGCTTCCTGTCCAATATATTCTCATCTCCCAGTGATGCTACTAATTCGGCCACCCTTAAGTAAACAGAATTAACTCTTCACCCAGATTCTCACTTTCATTCACGTGATTCCCCACTCTGTCTTCAAAGATCTACACAGTGAAATCAGAGCTGCTCCTAATTGACAGCTATTTATACCCTGTGATACTGTCCACACCTCTACTGCAGACAGCGTGGCCACAGATACAAGGTTTAGTTACACAGGCTCCAAGAACTGATAGTAAGATGGTAAATCTCCATGGGATAAGCTCAAAAAATAAATCAGTATCATGTGGCGATTCAAAGGTGACCTGTTGTGCTTCCTTGAACAGGCTAGCATGGGTCGATAATTTATACAAAATATATTCATTACATTTTTGCACAAAAATCATTCTTAGACAGTGAGATTTTAGTCTGCTCAGTTCTGCATTTTTTGTTTACGTCCGCACACGAAAATGGCTGCAAACAGATGCGCAATTATACAACTGTACCTCTTTGATAAGCAGAAGTAGAGCCTTCTGCACAACCAATAAGAATGCAGCAAGTGGTTTCTGAATAGTAAGTGAACAACCAAATATTTGTCTTTTCCAGCAGCCATTGTACAGGGAAAACAGCAGTAAAACCAGCTGACCAAATGTTCTGGAGCTCAACTTCAGTTGTTAGGTAACGGGCTGAGCTTTACTAGGGTTGCTAGGTAACTGGACAGTGCCTGTCAAATGTGACTTCACAATTGGGATTCTTTTGAAACGGCTAATTTTCCAGACACCATAAAGCATTAACTTAGCTGAGTCGCAAATGGAAGTACAAAAACGTTGCAAAATGTGAATTTTTCGTAACGGATCCCCAAGGATGGGAAAAGATGAGTCTTCCCCCATGGTAGATTCTGACCTGTCAGAGCACGTTAACGTAGACATGATTAACCGCCTGAACAATGCTTCTGTTGAATTTCTTAGTAAGCAGCGACAGAAAGCCAGGAAACGTTTATCCTACTGTAAATCTGTGGACCTGGGCTGAACTTAGTGTTTGATTATGAATCTTCAGCCAAAGAGACAGTATCTTGGGTAAGCCCTTCTTTGATGAAGAGAAGGAAAACTGAAGGGAGCGATGCAAAACAGGGAAGGACGTTAAAAAGGCCCCTTTTTTTTTATTAAAAATATTTCAGGTTGTCCATCGCGTATTCACAGTTCATTCGCAGATTTTTCTGTGGAATTTTCTTGGAATTATTTGTCAAATATTTGCAGCTTTCATCATAGAAAATATCTAAAATATTGGAAAGTACATGCTAGTTGACACACTATTGGGTGGTGTTTTCAAATCAGCCAATCCAGGAGCCACATTTATATTACAGACAGAAAATCTGTGCAGAGAGCTAAAGATAAAGGCAACCTTAAAAACTCAGAGATAATCTCCAAATATAAAAATCAATGAAAAAAAACTGGACAGCTATTGTAACAAAGATTTGTTTGTTGCAATGCCAATAAATATGTTTTTATTAATTAGTAAAATCGCAAATAATTTATGATACATGCTTTTAATGAAAGCTTTACATTTAATTTTAAGTGTGGAAGTCGTTGGCAGATTGTTCTTATTAATTTTGCCTGTACATGAAAGCATGTCTGCATGTTTGTTCTTGTCCTCTTCACTCATGCTGCTATAACTTTTCATTTTATCCCTGCCAGGACTTGTGGTTTACATGATTTCCTGGAATCTGGAACAGCCACCTGCTCTAGGAAGGAATCTGCTCATATCTTCACTAAAAAATACACGCTGCTTGTTTGGTTTTTCAGAAAACCAAAAGTTCCCATGGTTGTTGATTAAGTAATCAGAAAAAGCAGTTTCCATTGGTGCTTTAATATGATTTAAGTGGGAAATTAACGACCTGGTGCACTTGCTCTTCACCTGTATGACTACTTCCATATAGGAAAAAATAAGAGTTTTAGTAGTTTTTCTAGTCAGAGTTAACACACTGCCAATGAAATACCTTACAGAACAGAACATGAGAAGAATTTCCAAACTAATTAAAGTTAATCATTCTACAGTACGAAATATTATTCAAGAAAAACATCTAAGACAGTTGTAAATCATTCCAGTTATAACAGGGTTTCTGCAGGTTATGCCAATTGAAATTTAAGACTTTTTAAGACCTGTTAAAGACCATTATGAATGAAATTTAAGACTCTCCACAGAAAATATATAAACTTTGACCAGCCAACTGGCAATAAATTTACCCATGACAGATGCAAAAAAGCTAGCTAGTTAGCTAGTCAGACAGCATGGATATGTTAGCAGTGAGTTAGCGGTAGCCTCAACTCTCAGTGTAGATGTCTGAGTGTGACTCAGACTTTTGCCTGACAGAAAAGTTCCATGAGAAAAACATAATAATATACGTTATTCATAGCTCCTAATTTAAGACCTATAAATAACGCATTTAAGTCCAACTTGATTTTTTAAAACAAATTCAAGAAATTTTATGGCCTTAATTTTAGAGGTATTAATTTAAGACTTTTTAAGGATGCGAAAACAAGTTCAGCTGAGACCATGTAACAGAGAATGTAAAAACACTCAGACTGACCTACGTTAGCATGCTAACAGTTGAATGTCATGCTAGCTCAGCAAGAAAAAGTTCTACATATATCTTTGAAAGGCAGAAGTCAAGCCTCCTGCACAGCCATCAAGGATGCTCACTGGATGGCAAGTCAATAACAACACACTTTTCTTTTCCAGCAGCCTTTGTACACTGCAAAAGAACACAGAATTTTACTAAGTATTTTTGGTACAGATTTAAATGAAAATATCTCAGTACACTTGAAATTATACAGACCTGAATTATAAGTAACTTTTCAGCAGGATTTGGGTGCTTGTTTGAAGTCATTAATGACTTAATATTAATGAAAAACTTCTTGTTTCATTGGCAGATTATTTCACTTATAACATGGGAAAAATGTCTTGTTAAAAGTAAAATCATCTGCCAATGGAACTAGTATGTTGTCATCAATGTCAAGGAATTATTGACTTAAACAAACTCCTAAATCCTGCTGAAAAGTTACTTGTAAGTTAGTTTTGTCTTATTTCAAGTTTACAAAGATATTTACACAAGAAACTAGACCAAAACTACTTGGTAGGATTTTGTGTTTTTGCAGTGTACAGTGCAAAAACACTGTACACTGCAGTGTTTTAAACCAGTTTTAACGCTGGTTTAACAGCGTTAAAACCAGCCAATGAAATGTTCCGGAATCTCAGCTGGGGTTGCTAGGCAATGGCACAGTGCCGGCAGGTTTTGGGTTTTGAAACGACTCATTTTCCAGACACCAAAAAACATTAACTTTTTGCCAAAAAACGGCTGTATGGTTCGTTAAAGCGCCCGAATGGAAATATAAAAACGCTCAAATTGTGAATTTAATCTGGGATCTTACTCAGACCCTTTTTTTTGGCCCAGTTATTTTGGTCGCAGGTTGTTGAGTTGCTAAAAATAAATCAAATTTGTTCTTGTAATCACCTGCTGCCGGCTCGTTCCAGACATTGCGGTCGTTGATATGAGCGACGTGTTTCGGCAGCCGTCGCTGTTTTACCACCTGGGCGTGAGGGAAAGCTTCGACATGGCCAACAACGTCATCCTGTACCACGACACCGACCCGGACACGGCCCAGTCGCTGAAGGTACGCGTGCACACCACTCAGTGTAACCAGAGTGCATGAATGCCATTCCGTCACACCGCCTCAGAACAAAGTGATCCAGGAAGTTATTTCCAGATCTGTGTGTGCTGCACAGCCAGTTCTCCTTACCTCCATGCTCTGAAATACACTCGCTCTTTGTTGTGTTTCTTTGCAGGACATGGTTGCACAGAAAAATACAGTAAGTTTCTGCATGTTTGTGTGATTTATGTGCACACAGTGTTTCCAGGAAAAGCATCCATGACATGTGCAGTCAGTCCTCTGGTGCTGAAATGCATTCAGGAATGCACGTCCACAAGCTTTTCCTTCGTGGAACTGCGCTTCTCTTTCTCACTACATACAGCCGAACAGAGTCCTGACAGCTTGTTAGCAACAGGTTTTTACCAGAAGTTGGTGCTTATTGTACTGTGTTTCTCTGCTTGCCTGTATGGAGTAGGCCAGTCGTCCTCCAGTATTAGGCTTCCCTTGGATTCAGCTGCCTCCAGAATATCGAGGCTCTGGACTGAGAAATAAAGTACGTAACCTGCCTGCAGCAAAGCATGCAGAGAGAGTTCCTCAAAACAGCAACTACTAACAAATGAAGGCCTTGACGATCCAGAGAGGAATGTCAGTAGCTGCATTTCCATTGACCAGATTGCGCAAATTGGAATTACAAAAATAAATTCATTTAATGGAAACATGACAATTTAAAAAAAAAAAACAAAGTTTTTTTGATTAAAGGTTTTAGGGCTAGAACAGTGTTTCTCAACCCTGGTCCTCACCGCCCCCCTGTCCTGCATGTTTTAGGCATTTTCCTTCAGCCACACCTGAATTGTATCTCTGGGTGATTAACGGGCTTCTGCAGTTCTTGATGGTCATGCAACCATTTGAATCAGCTGTTCTGGAATAGAGGCACATCTAAAACATGCAGAGCAGGGGGGCGGCGAGGACCAGGGTGGAGAAACACTGGGCTAGAATGAGGTGGATGAGTGTATTTCACAAAACTATGTACAATAGAAATACTTTTTTTTGTATCACACAAGTCATGTGATCAAGTACCCGGATGTTACTACTGGCAGAAACTATGAAGAAGACGACAACAGGAAGTGGTTGGAGGATGATGGCACAGCATAATTTTTTTAAAGATTTATTGCGTGAACAAACTTATTCACATATGATTTTACTTTCAGTTACATTCTGTAGCTTTAATGTCAGAATCCAAGAGGTTGCCATGTGGGATACCACAGGGCTCCGTTTTTGGACCTCTTATTTTTCTTTTATTTAAGTTCCCCCTATACCAGACAGTCAGGCAGTGCCAAGACATGTCCTTTTATTTCTATGCTGATGATATTTAGATCTATTGTTCTATTAAGCCAACTGAAAATCTAAAAGTGTCCTCCATGAAGAACTGTGTCCATCATATGAAACGGTGACATTTTTTGGAGCTGTCAAATGAAACAATTTCTAGGTGTGATTCTCTCAAAACTGCATGTTATGTGTTTGTAAAAGGAAGACCTTAACAGTAAGAAACATCATATCATTCCAGTTTTAATTTCTTTACATTGGCTACCATTTTAATAATTTTTAATCCTTTCTTTTAAAGCCTGTTGCCAATCCTTTAGAGCGGTACATTACCTCCATCTTGCCGCTGTTGTGACTCTGTTCATTCTTTTAAGAAGCATCTAAAGACCAATTTGCTCAGAGTGGCTTTTAATCAGTTTTATTCTCCTTTTATGTCTTATTTTCCTCTGGTGTTTTGTGTTTCTGTGGTTTTAACCCCCATAACGCTTTTGCATGTTTATTGAGGAACTCTGATCTGAAAGGGGCTTTATCACCCGACTGTCCATTTCTGTGTAGAACATCGTTAGCATGTTGGAACTCCTTCTTTTCTTAGCCAATAGTGTTCGACATGTGCTGATTTATGGCTCCATGTCCAGACATGCAGCGGCGTGTTACATACGTTCAGAAATGTCCAGGTTAAATTTGGTTTGCCAGTTCAGGCAGCTGATGAAGATCCACATTTAAAAACAATGTGTGGGTGAAATTTTCACTGGTGCCAGGTGAGGTGCAGTATAAAGTATTCATCAAGGTTTTTACTTTTAGTTTAATTTAATAAATTCATATAAATTTCTTTAAATAAAGCAAGACAAAGCTACATCCTGTTCTTGTTGTTAAAAAAGACAAAAAATCATAAAAAGATGAAAGATTTATCCCTTTTTTTAATATCCCAAACCTGCAGTTTTAAGAAACTTTTTGTGTTTTAAATCTACAATAATTTACTAATTTACTCGTCGTCAGAATATAGGAATACTCTGCTTAGTTTGTTGTTTATTTGGCAGATAAAAATGAAAAATGTAAATAGTGTTTGCAATTATAATTAAGAAGAAAAATACTAAAAATTTTGTGGCTTCATTGTCCAAAAGTTTGAATACCGCTGGCTTAGCGTGGTGCTAGTTGAAATGAGGGTTTGTTTGGGTTTTTCAGAGCCAACCTGCTGATGATGTCATGATGTTTCTCTGATCCCCGTCATTAATTACCCTCTAATCTCCCCTCCGTCTATTGTTCCTCCACCTGGGAGTCCCTTCACACCTGCCCTCTGTGTGTTTACCTGCACTGTAACTCTATTACATCTGCATTTGCAGGTTTTTGAAAGTCTGTGATATCCTTGTTATCTTTTAAACATCCTCCCTCTCTTCCTCCAGGCTTCCAGCGGTAATTACTATTTCATCCCGTACATTGTGACTCCTAACCATGAGTATATGTGCTGTGAGAGCGATGCACAGCGCAGGGCTAGCGAGTACATGCAGCCCAGCTGGGACAACTTGTTGGGGCCGCTGTGCGTCCCCTTGACAGACCGCTTCACCAGCCTCCTGAAGGACATCCATGTGACATCATGGTGAGACAGGAACAAAAACACTTCTCTCCTACAATTATAATAAACAGCTGCACTCAAAAGATATCTTTATACAGTAAGTTTGCACAAACAAAATGGTATCAGAGGCCAGAATTCACAATATCCATGCTATAAAGTACCTCTGTGGCGCATTTGAAATTGATGTTTACAAATCTCCTCAAACCAGTTGGACTGAGCTTGATGTCTTTTGCTGAGGAAGAACAAATATTTCAGTCAAAAACTGAACACATATTATCCTAAAAGCAATTAACTTTAAAAGAACATGTAACAGTTTATTTTAAAACAATATTTCATCACAAGAAGCCCAACTTAGGCATTTTTATTGATATTGCATCAGGAAAAGTTAAACGGCATGAATTCCTATTGTCTGCTGCTGCAATAAAGGTAAACAATGATGCTAACTAGCCATTAGCTTTAGCCCAAACTCATTTTTAATTTGTGCCCCATTAAGATCATGAATGTCCTGAAAGGGTCAGTTGTGGCAGAATCTACCGATAAAATTAACTGTTAATAATCTGTCAAAATTTTGTCGTTTTCTCTACGTTTAATGAGTACTTCTTAAAATGTAGCAATAACATTTAACATATTTTCACATTGGTGTAATTTGGTCCTACACAAATGAAAACTGAATTGATTTGACTGGTAAAATAATATTTAAGCGCAAAACTGTTACCTAAAGTTCAATGTGTATGGTGAAGGGCCACATAAATAGTTATGGCGTGCCAGATTTGGCCCACGGGCCTGGAGTTTGACATCTTTACTTTAGCCTGTGGGAACAACCTGTCTGTTGTTATTCAAAGGTGCTAAGACAGTTTTCTACATTAGGTAAAAGTAACAAATTATAAGTTCTCAAATAAATCCTACTTCCAAAAATCTGAAATATGCCTTTACATTTTTGTTTATTTTTACACTTTGTGTATTGATTATGTGATAAACACAACTATAATGGCTGTTTTTCTGCAGCTAAACTTTGGTAATGTTCTGAAAAAGTTAATGTAAATAAAATGAACCATCATTGTTGAGAATCAGTCCCTATGGTCATAATGGGTGTGTTTTGTTTACATGTTTAACTTTGATTTTATTGCCACCTACTGGTACCTTTAGGGAATGTCTGCGTTCTTGTCTGAACAGACATTTTTATTTCAAAGAAAGCAGTTAAGACAGTTAACCCATGTATTCGTAGGAGTTAACAGCCAAAAATGCCCATGAGCAGCTAAACTCTATGAATACTTTAGACATGCTCTAAAAACTGTCCATTTTAATAGTTCAAACGCCAAATATACGTCAATATGTAACGTGTCTTCGCACTACCGCAGAATCTAAGCTAAGATCAACGTCTTTCTTATCCGCCACTCTTCGGAGTTCAGCCAATCAGCACCAAACTAAAAGATACGGCGCTCCTGGATTGGCTGCTTTGCAAACGCCAGCCAATAGCGTGTCAAGTAGCATTGTAGCTAGGTACATCAGCTTTCCAATCTGCTTTTTCTTTCGAATGATTTAGATATGCTCGACGAAAACAAAATTAAACAGGCGGATTTTCCACAAATAATTTGGAGTTACCTTCTAAAGCAAAATCTACAAATACTGAACCGGGAATAGGCGACGGTCCACTGTGTTCACAGTTGAAGTTTTCGCTTCCCATTTCAGTTGAAGCGAAATTTATCCGCCATTTTTAACTTCACAGAATTTTCACTCGCTCCAATTTCAACCCATTCATCATCTTTTCAGCGCATCTTTTAAGGACACCTTGCTGAATGACATCAGGAAAGCCAGGGAGAAGTACCAGGGAGAGGAGCTGGCCAAGGAGCTGGCCCGAATCAAACTCAGGATGGACAACACTGAGGTCCTAACGCAGGACATCGTCATGAACCTGCTGTTTTCCTACAGAGACATACAGGTACTAAAATGACAACATGCGGAATTTAATCTTCTTTGAAAATAAATTGTTGTGTAGGGAAGTTTTTTTTTTTTTACCTGGTTATGTTTGTCTTAAACTGATAAACAGGATTATGATGCTATGGTTAAGCTTGTGGAGACTCTAGAGACGCTGCCTACTTGTGATCTGGCAACCCAACCGATGATCCAGTTCCACTACGCCTTTGCTCTCAATAGGTAAACAATTATTGCTTTTCTTTGGTGACGAAATAGTAAAAACTTTACTAAAACTATTTTTTGTATTCTCTGTAAGCATTACTTCTGTTTTAGTTTGGTTTATTGTGACTTGTTGGAGCATTAAAGACCAGACTGAGATGCAGAAAATTCAAGCTTCCTATACAATCTGGAGAAGTTTTGATTTATTTTGAAGTTCTTAAAAATACAGTAGTGCCTCAGAAAAAAGCAAACTTCCTTTTAATCAGAATTTTTTACTTTAATCTCAGAATTCTGACTCATTTTTATTATATTATCAATGGTTATTGTCATGTCTTCCTATTTTTTTCCATTTGCCACTTTGCTGATGACACTGGTAAATTTCCAGTAAAGGATAAATTGTTTTTAAACTGGTTACCTAGTGATTTTTTTAAATGTTTTTTTATCCCATTATTTAAAACATCACTCCAACAAGTGATCCATCTACTAACCTTACATAATATTATCTACTTACAAACCGATTACTATAACATACTCCAAATTATAATTCAGAGTATGATTCATTAAGATTTTTTGAAAGTAACAGTAAGTTTCAGGAATCTCACCTGATCAGACTTTTATATTTAAGAGTGTGAATGTTTGCAGGAGGAACAGTCCTGGAGACCGGGAGCAGGCTCTCAGAGTGATGCTCCAGGTGCTGCAGACGAGCGAACATCCCGCCCCGGACATGTTCTGCCTCTGTGGTCGGATCTACAAGGACATTTTCCTCGACTCGGACTGCAAAGACACAGTAAACAGAGATAATGCCATACAGTGGTGAGAAGAGACTCATTTTGAAAGTGGTTCTCTTTTCTTTATTAGTCAGTTTATATGTTTTGTTTTGTTTCGCCTGCAGGTACAGGAAGGGCTTTGAACTGCAGCCCACTCTCTACTCTGGCATTAACCTGGCTGTCCTGCTCATCGTCGCTGGCCAGCAGTTTGAGAGCTCCATTGAACTGAGGAAAATAGGTGACATGAAACCCCTTTCACTTCTTTGCTAGAGTCACAGGATCTGTTGATTTTAAGCATTCAAGTTTTTTTCAAAAGCTGTTTGTCTTTGATGGCAGTTTTTTATTTGTATGGATGTTCTGCTGTGTTTAAAATTGTTTGTTAGACTCTTTACGTTTTTGGATGCAAAAGACAGTCACTAACTTGACAATAAGATGATTTTCACTAATTTTACAATTATCTGATTTCAGTTTGCTGTACATAAATGTGGTGAATGTCATGAATGTTATTTACCAACAGAAAGTCACAGTTATTTTAGTCATAATGTGTCGTATTTTAAAATAGTCAATCGCTCCAAATAGGGAACCAAGATTAAAAAAAAGTAGAGCAGTTGTCTTTCAATTTTTACAATTAAATTACATTATTAGAGTAAAAATAACTTTAAGACTATCTCCACAATTGGTCATAAATATAAAGAACAAGGACAATTTAAAGTTATTCATATTTTTTCTATTTAAATATGTTATTTTACCATTTGAAACGATAAATATATTTTACAACTGGTTTGGCTTTAACAGTTTTAAAATGTGTCTATTTGAACTTACCGTTTTCTCTAAAGCAATAAAAGATGTAATTAAAATATTCTTTTTATAGCATTTCTACATATTTCTACACAAATTTAAGTTTAGCGTCAAATTTGTGTATTTAAAAACTTGTTTTAGAAAAAAATATATATAATTGGAATATTTATAAAATATCTATCTTCCACCATTTCCACTTAAGGGCAAATTAATACATTTTAATTGTATAACAAGCTGGTTACCAAAGTTAGGTGAAGCACAAATTTCTCTTTAGAAATTCATGTATAACTCAATCTCAATTTATTAATGTAAAATTCTTCAAAAGTATCATTTGTTTTGATTTTCTTGTGTTTCATAAATAGAGCTGTCAGGGTGAAAGTGATCAGCATAAAAACATTTAATTTGGGCTAAATCAAAGCTGTGTTGTAGTGTCTTTTTCTCAGCAGATGAGTGGTTTTATTAACTGTTTATTTTTGTTTTTAGGTGTGAGATTAAACAGCCTGCTGGGGCGTAAAGGTTCCCTGGAGAAAATGAACAACTACTGGGACGTGGGCCAGTTCTTCACTGTTAGCATGCTAGCTAGCGATATTCCCAAAGCGACTCAAGCGGCTGAGAAGCTGTTCAAACTGAAGCCACCGCTATGGTAGAGCCTCACATGACAATAGAAACACTTAATCTGGTTTCCATTTTCTATATTCAGAGTTTCCTCGTGTACAAACATTTCTGGTCGCAAGTTTGGTGAGGAGGAAAATGGTCAGGAAAATGCTAACAGTGTCAAAGTTTTTTAAGCTAACATCAATGGAGGGAGTTTTTTGAAAAAAAAAAAAATTTGTGGATCTTCAACAAACTTTTTAAAATATGCCTTTTAAAAACTACAAGCTCAGAAGTGGTTTAATTAAATCACTGTAACAGTGATATAGCAGTTACTATATTTGTTATGACTGTGTTTAGGGCCATTGTAGATAGAAAAACCAGCAGGAAAATATTTCTGCCAAAAAACGTGGAAATTTTAAAATTAATCTCAGAAATTTTCTTTTAAAAAAAGAGACATTTCAGAGCTCCAAATGTTGACATTTTCTAAAAAACAACAAAAAAAGGAAATTTCTGATCTCCAAAAGTTGAAAATTTGAGAGAAAAAACTCAAAAACTTTAAAATGAATCTCAGAAATCTTTAAGAAAAATCATGGAAGTTTCTGAATTAAAAAAGTCAAAAATGTTAAACTTTTGAAACTCAGAAAAGTTTTTTTCTAGAAAATTTCTGAGATTTATCTTTTTTTTTTTTTTAAATCACATTTTTGACTTTTCAGGCTCAGATATTTTTCCTTTTTTTGTTGTTTGTTTTTTGCTGTGTACAATGCCCCTGATACGCTGTTGTAGTTAAAGGATATCAAATTATTTAGTTTTTGTAAAACGTGTCGTATAGGCTTTGGAGCTTCTAGCTTCTACTGTGGCTCTTAGTTTCGCCACTAGATATTCTATAACCAACATTTTGAGGATAATGGCATGCATTCAGAGGAGATTACTGATGCTCACTGGCCTCATTAATTTTTGATTTGTTTAATTGTTTCCTCTCAGGTATTTGCGGTCAGTGGTGCAGAACCTGCAGCTGATCCAGAGGTTTAAAAAGCAGGCGGTGGAGCATTCCCCCCAGAGAGAACGACTCGACTTCTGGATGGACATCATCGTGGAGGCGACTCAGGGAACCACCAAGAGGCTGCGGTTTCCTGTACAAACAACTGATAAATAAACTTAAAATACACACATTCTGATATTTAAGTTTGAGATATTAAGGTCATTATAAATAAAGTTGGTTATTGTTGTTGTAATCCCTACGCGGCCTAACTGTGTAGATTTTTAAAATTACAATGAAGTATTAGGGCAAGACTGAGAAAAAAATGTGAAAATAAAGTTACAAGAATAAAGTCTTAACATTAGAAGAATAAAATCATAGTATTGCTAGAATAAATTCAAAATGAAAAGAGAATAAAGTCATAATTTACAAGTTTACTTTTGTAATATTGACTTTATTCTCTGATTATTTTGACTTTATTCTGATATTTTAAACTTTATTCTCATTCCACTTTATACTTGCAATATTACAATACATTGATATTGTATGTAGTCATACTATTTTGAGAATAAAGTCATAATTTTGCAAGAATAGTTGTAAAAATATGACTTTAGTCTCATATTGTTTTGACTTTATTCTTGTAATTTAATTTTAAACATTTTCTTAGTGTGTCATTTAAAATAACATAATAAATCCTAATATTTTTGTGTGTTTTCTTTTGTTATTTTGCAGGTTTTGATTTTGGAGCCAACTAAAGTTTACCAGCCTTCCTATGTGTCCATAAACAACGAAGCTGAAGAGAAGCATGTTTCCATCTGGCACGTCTCTCCTGTTGAGAGCGTAAGAATCACATATTTTAAACGATCACTTAAAAGTTCATCACTTGGTGAAATTTGTTGTTTTTTGCTGAATTACCATACACTTTGGTTTCAATATGTGTTTACTTCAGTTTCAGTTATTTTTTATTTCAGCATGAATTCTAAATTAAATGTTTTAAACTCCACAGAAGGGAATCCATGAGTGGAACTTCACTGCAACGTCCATTAAAGGCATTAGGTAGGTAAAAACACAGTTAATTCATGAGCAAGATGACTGTGGTTGTTTTAATTTTACACTGAAACTCCAAAAATAACACTTATTATTATAGATTGCCTTTACAAGAGAAAGCAGCCTCTTAGTTTCAACACATGCATCCTGGAAATGTGTGAATAATTTCCAACCTGTGTGAACTGAATGCTGATTTTGCCACCTGGAGCTGCAGGTTTAATTTCAGGTTTGGTCATCCTGCCATGTGACCTAACCGCCTTACAATCCCCTCCTGCATTTTTAAAACAGCAGCTACATAAGTAGTGCAACCTGAGACGCTGCTAAAACATCTATAGATGGACTCAGAGTGAAGTAACAGAGAAAACATGACTCATGATTGTTAATCATGAGTCAAGGTCAATTTCTTCTCTTTGCTGCTGCAAAAAATAAAAAAATCTGACACAAATTAAGAGTTTAATACCCTCCCCCCCATGTGTTTTTCTCCCACATTATCCTTGTTTTTCTTGTATTTTTGAACTGATGCTTAAATTACATTTTCTGTTCGCTTCGTTTGCAGTATTAGCAAATTTGACGAGCGCTGCTGCTTCCTTTACGTCCATGACAACTCTGACGACTTCCAGATCTATTTCTCCACCGAGGAGCAGTGCGGTCGGTGAGGACACACACCTCTAGATGTGTCTGTGTAGGTGTTTGTGTTTACAGAGCATGTGCAACCTTTGCAGTACTTTTAAACCTCTACCCAAAATCTTAGCCAGACTTTTTGTAATCTGTTATGATGGTTAAAAAAATTATTTTTTTTAATTTTGGACTGCACAAATTTTATTTCAGATCTTTTGTCAATTCAGGTTTGAGGCCCCAAAAACACTTCAGAGCGTTTAAAGTAATTTCTTTAAAACAGTGTAAATGCAAATCTTTTTTTAAAAAAAATCTTAAATTCATATATGTAAAATTAAGGCCTTAAAATGTCTTAAATTAAATGAAAAAACAAGAAGTTGGCCTTAAATACATTAATCCCAGGTCTTAAATAGTGTTGTGATAATACAATTTAATCTCATATTTTATGTAGTTTTATTTTTTCTCTATTCTACTGTCTTTTGTGACTCAAGGCATTTGCGGCTAACGCTAGCTCGCTGTTACCTAATGAGCTAGCTAGTAAAGGTAAAGCTAGCTAGTACTATTTCATCTCATATTCTATGCAGTTTTTTTTTTGTTTTTTTTTTTGCAAGGCTTTTTTGTACCGTCTTCTGTGACTATATGAAGTTGTAACTAGCGCTAGCGTGCTGCTAGCTAACTAGCTACCTAGAAAGGGTAAAACTAGCTAGTCTTTTTATGTCCATCATGAGTAAGTGCAAATTTGTCAGCAGTTGGCCAGATGATGCTCATCTTCGCCATTTTGACTTATTTATTTGCGATTTTCTGTTGTGATGCAGGTCTTAAATTCCTTTCATACTGGTCTTAAAAGTCTGAAAAAGTCTTAAATTTGAGTTGGTGAAACCTGCAGAAATCCAACAGAAACTTTAAAAATCCAGGAAAAAACTAAAGAAAACCTGATGGATGTCAATATTTTACCCCATATCTCTAAGCATCAGTTTGTTAGTTATTTAGCTCTTTTTCTTATTTATACAGCAAATAAATTTGAATATTGTTATAAAAGTGTGATGAACCTCTGAAGCCCTTCCAGTCGAAACCATATGAAGACTGACATGAAAACCTGGCAACCTGAAATCATGAAAATAAGGGAATGAGAGATGACTTCAGTGTTCTGCACTGTATTTTTGTTTTAAACTAGAATCTAAAATAACAGTTTTAATGTGGGTTCATGTGGGGGGTGGATCAGGTTCTGCTCCCTGGTGAAAGAGATGATCTCTGATGGTACAGGGAACGCTGTGGAGCTGGAAGGAGAGGGGGATGGAGACACGCTGGAGGTCAGTCTGTGGCTTCATCACGGTTGTAAAACAATGTTCTGTTGGTGCAAGCAGCTTGTGTTCATGTCTGTGCTTCAGTACGAGTACGACACGGACGAGAACGGAGACCGGGTGGTGCTGGGCCGGGGCACCTATGGGGTGGTGTACGCTGGGAGAGACCTGAGCAACCAGGTCCGGATCGCTATTAAAGAGATCCCTGAAAGAGACAGCAGGTCGGATACCAACAGTAGCTGTTCAAAAATGTTCAAAAAGCTGAATATTTGAAATGTAACTATTGTCAGTAAATCTAAATAAATCTGATATGAAAAGAAGTGATGCACTAACATCGGTATCGGCCGATATTAACCACCAATATTTGTTTTCATGTTATTGTTTTTTTGTTTTTGGTTGTTTTATTTCCAAAGATGTCTAAAAGGTAGAGAAATGTATATCCAGCTCTGGTAAAAGTGAAAAAACTGAAAAGCTCCTGGTTATTCCACCAAATATTAATTTCTGAACTCTTTCTGAGTTAAAACATTAGTATTGTTGTTTCTAAATGAATATTTTCTTGTTTTCTTTGCATTATTTGAGGTCTGAAAATGCTGCATCTTTTTATTTTGACCATTTCTCATTTTCTGCTAATAAGTACAAAAAATTTGCTTGGAATATCAGAGACATGTTGCCAGTAGTTCATAGAATAAAATAACAAAGTTCATTTTACTCAAACATAAACCTATAAAGAATGAAATCAAGAGAAACTGATCATTTTAATTGGTCTCTTAATTTTTTCCAGAGCTGTATATAATGTTTGTAAATATCGGTTATCAGCTATAGAAGCTGATAACCGATATTCTGTTTTAATCTCAGAATATTAAAGCCAGATTTTTTTAATTACTTTTTTGCAGTGGCTCTAATCTTCTTTTGTAATAATAAATGGAAAATATTAGGAATGCACCAAGCCGATCGTAGTCCCCGATTTTACCTGCCGCTGCAAGGTAAAATCACAGCGGCAGTTTGCCATTGCAGGTTGCAATGTTTGTTGGCTGCAACAAACATTGTTGGCTGCAATGTTTGCAGCCAACAATAGTCGCCCCACAATTGCCAACTCAGCGACTGTCCTGCTACATTTAGTGCCACGTCAGGCTTTTTAAAGATTGCTGATCAGCCAGAAAACTGCAATCGGTGCACCTGTAACATTTATGTTTTCTCATTGTATAAAATAAACAGCGCTCTTAATTAAAAATCAAAATGCATTTTGTCTGTTTCTGTTCTTCCTGTTCTGTGATTCAGGTACTCGCAGCCACTTCACGAAGAAATCGCCCTTCACAAGTACCTGAAGCACAGGAACATCGTTCAGTATCTGGGCTCGGTTTCTGAGAACGGATACATCAAGATCTTCATGGAACAGGTGCCTGGAGGTACAAATCTGCACCGCAGAGAAACTGTCGCATTGCCTTGTCAGATCGATTCTTAGGAAGCAAGGCGACCGCTTCAAGCTTCCAGGTTGTTGGACGTTACTAGTTTTTATTTTCCAGGAAGCTTGTCTGCTCTGCTGAGGTCGAAATGGGGACCTTTGAAAGAAGCGACGATCATCTTCTACACCAGGCAGATCCTGGAGGGGCTGCGATACCTGCATGAGAACCAGATTGTCCACAGAGATATAAAGGTGCCAGTAATTAAATACAAAACGGTGATAAATACGGGGCAGCTTCAGCTCATCAGCAGAGAGGAAGGGAAATACAAGCTGATTTTACACAGTGGCAGGTTAATGTTTCCAGTACAAATCTGACCAAAACCTTCTCTGTATTACACTAATGTCGAAAAAACACAATTTCATAATTGCAGTGATTCCATTAAATAAGAAACACAATTGAAATCACACTTGTATATGTTTGTTTGTGTAATAATAAGAAAACAACTGCTTCCTGTTTTCTTCTTCATGGTTTCTGCCAGTAGTAACATCCCATTGCTGGTCATGTGACTCCTGGGAAAAATGTGTTTCCATTGCAGTTTTGCGAAATAAACTATTTTCAAAATGGTAATAAAGAAACTACCTCATCCTAGTGCAAAACTTTTTATTAAAAACCAAAACAGTTTTTTAAATTGACGTATTTCCATTAATCAAAAAAAAAAAAAGTCAAATTGCAGAATTATATGGTGAATGGAAACGCAGCTTCTGTTTCTCTTGTTAACTACTTTTATCTGTCTGAGGAACAGATAAAAGTAGGGTTTTAGTTATTAAACCGTACATGTTTAATAACTAAAGTTATTCTGGTTTAAATTTGATATTAAAGTTTTGAGAAGAACAGTTAATTAACAGACCGAGAACAGTGCCCTTTAATCCGTTACTGATCAAACCGCCTATTTTAGTGCTTAAAAGCCAACAGGAAGCAAAAAGTATTTATTTTAAGGTAAGTAAAACTGGTAAATAACCTTTACTTTATCTTCTGCAGGGAGACAATGTGCTGGTGAACACCTACAGCGGCGTCTTGAAGATCTCTGACTTTGGAACCTCGAAACGCTTGGCTGGAGTAAATCCCTGCACAGAAACGTTTACAGGTAGCCTGCAACGTGATTCTGTTCTAACAGAGGATAGAAAACCAGAAACAGTGAATAGTTTGAATTATAAAGGAATTTATTGGAGGTGAAACATTGTTGATCTGCTAACTTTTTAAAATAATAAACCACAACTGACACCACTCTTTGACATGAAATATAGCGTCTCTAATAAAGACTAACATATGTAAATAATAAAACCTAAATCTTACATATAATCCTGTTTCTTAGAAACATAATAAATTGAGTCAATGCTTGTAGAAAGATCCTGTTTAAGCTGCACTGCAAAAACACAAAATCTTCATTTTTGGTCAAGTTTCTAGTGCAAATATCTTAATATATTAGAATAAAGAAGCTTGATTTGTAATTCCTTAATATTGTTTCAAAAATTACTGGCTCCACTGGCAGATCATTGAATTTATAACAAGAATTTTTTATCTAATACTTTTTAATTCAATAATAAGGAATTATTGATTCAAATTCTCTCTTGAAAAGTTGCTTGTAAGTTAGTTTTGTCTCATTTCAAGTTTACTAAGGTATTTGTGGTACAAACTAGATAAAAAGTACCTGGTAAAATTTTGTGTTTTTGCCGTGTTAGAGAAATATTATTTAGATACAAGTATTTTTTATTTTTACAAAGTAAGCATAAAAAGATAACTGCAGCTAACGTTACTTTAATGTTGAAATAAATCTGTGAAAATGTATCACATTCTTAATTTAAACCCACAAATTGCCTCAGAAACTAAGCAGGCAGTTACACGTTGGGCCACACAGACAGCAATTCAGTCTGCAATAAATAAATGGAGTCATTGAAATGCCTCATGCTCTGAGAGCAAACATCAAATGACCCTCCAGATGTCAAGAGCCTCTATGGAAACACTCAAGCATGCGGCCGTGTGTGGACATACACATTCATTGGCCATCTGGCCTCCTCCTGCAGCCGCAGAGGTGTGTAATTAGATTAGCTAATCAAGCAGAGGCAGAAGGGTGTTTACCTTTCATTAGCGGGTCTGTTGGCCTGCTTATCTGTTTCTGCTGCTCGTCTGACGCGCTTCTTTATGGCGGCTCCTGCAAACCTGCTCTCAACTTTGGGATGCAGGGAAAACTCAAGCAGGAGAAATGGCCGTCTTTCTGTGCTAATTAACTCATCAGGTGTTTGTTTGTTTGTTCACCAACTGCATTAATCACAAACAAAGATGTTCAGATTTAGACCAGAATTAAACCGAATCCGCCCTGAGAGCATCAGTCTCCTGAAATAGACGGTTTTTTAGAAATGTTTGTGTGGTTTGCTGTAGGTACTCTGCAGTACATGGCTCCAGAGATCATCGATAAGGGCCCTCGAGGCTACGGCGCCCCCGCTGACATCTGGTCTCTGGGATGCACCATCATAGAAATGGCCACTGGGAAACCTCCGTTCCACGAGCTCGGAGAGCCGCAGGCAGCCATGTTTAAGGTAGCTGTGTACAGTCACCATCTTTGAGATGTTTCCACTTCCTGTTAATGAAAATGTTTAAAAACTAGCTTTCTGCTGCAGGTGGGAATGTTTAAAATCCACCCAGAGATTCCCGAATCTCTGTCCCTGGAAGCAAAGTCCTTCATCCTGCGCTGCTTTGAGCCCGATCCTAACAAGAGGCCCATCGCTGCCGATCTGCTCAGGGACATTTTCCTCAGGCAAACCACGAAGGGCAAGAAAAGCAAAATCGCCTTCAAACCATCAGGTGGGAGAGAGATAGACAACCTGAACCAGAAAACATTTCCAGAAACACCTGCTACATTTCCATACCCTCATTTTTGATGCTCTCCTGCATGCCTGTGTTTTCAGACTACATCCACAGCGTTTCCATTCCAGCGCAGCAGCAGGGCGAAGCCGCCGGCAGCAGCAGCAGCGAACACGGCTCTGTGAGTCCGGACTGCGACTCCAAACATGACGTTTTCTTCCAGAGGAAGAGAACCTCTGGCTCTGAAAACCTCAAAACCTCCAGCTCCAACTACCTGAGGTGAGGACAGACTCGGGTTACATCACAGAGACGCATTAGACACCAGAAGGTCCACCTTCCTGTAAACTCTAAAAGTGATCGAAAGTTGTTCAAACTTTTTATTATTATTATTATTACCTGTAGTCTTTGGCTGCTTTTTGCCAGGTCTTAAATTTAATTTATGGTGGTCTTAAAAAGTCTTAAGTTGATTTTAACCTGCATAAACCTTGGCACAGTTTGGTTATGAAATGAAAGGTACGGTGTGGTGAACGGACAATTTCATATTCCAGCAGAAACTGTCTGGACTTTTCTTAAAAGTATAAAAATAAAGAATTAAAGCCTGATCCTCACAGGAATTCACCAGCTCCTCCATTCACTGAATAATTGTGCTCATGTTTGGAGGCCAGGTGGCGTCTTTGTGCTCTGCTGCCTTTTACAACATCAATATAACGAAGCTTGATTATTTTGTGATGCTCAGCTGGCGGCTGTGTACACAGGTATCGTGTGTCGTCCGCAGCGCCGCGGGGTTGCGTCCCGCTGACTCATGCTTCCCCTGCACTTCCCTGGGCACACACTGTAGCCAGGAGAGGATTGCATCTGCAAGTAAACTGAAACCGGGTCTGTTGTAAATCATCTTGTCTTGCAGCGTCCCAGACGAGAGTTCGGTCTCAGAGGACCGCAGCGTCCCGCCCTCGCCGGAGGACAGGGACAGCGGCCTCTTCCTCCTGAAGAAGGACAGCGAGAGGCGAGCTATTCTCTACAAGGTCCTGAATGACGACCAGGAGAAGGTCATCTCCAACCTGAAGGAAAACCACATCCAGGTCCGGTGAAACATGAAGCCACATGTGTGAAACGCAAGGCCCGCGGGCCAAATATGGCCCACCGCAGAGCTTTACGGGGCCCAGAGGGACACATAACTGTTGAATGATTAAATAATGTTTTATCAATCAAATGACAGCAACTTTCAATGGAAGGCTATTAGTGCCACAAAAAAGAAAAGTTCAGATTTTTTTCTCAAATTCCTCCAAATTTTGACTTTTTTCCTTAGAATTTACTACAATTATTTTGACTTCTAAGATCAATAATTTGAATTCTGGGGGAAAAAAGAAATTCTGTTTAAAAAAGTCAAAATTCAAAGAAAAAAAAATTTAGAATTCTGAGGAAAAAATGTCAAAATTTGAGACAAAAAAGGTCAAAATTCTGATTTTTTTTTTTTCTCAAAATCGTCCAAATTTTTACTTCTTTCCTTAGAATTTACTACAATTATTTTGACTTCTAAAATCAATAATTTGAATTCTGGTGTAAAAAAATAAATTCTGGTTAAAAAAGTCAAAATTCAAAGAAAAAAATCAGAATTCTGAGGAAAAAAAGTCAAAATTTGAGAAAAAAAGTCAAAATTCTGATTTTTTTTCCTCAAAATTCTGAGAAAAATTCCACTTCTGTGTTGTTCCAACAGAAATAATTTTGACATAAAAAACCATTTTACATAAAAAAGTGCACTTTCTTAAATAGCCACAAGGGGGTGCCACAATCCTTTATAAGAGTTCTGCCATCCAACCCGTTTAATTCATGAAACCAGGCTGTTCTGTGGTGTTTGTTGGTCCGTAGTGAATGTGTTTCGTTGCGTTGTGTTTGTTGATGTGAACTTGTGATTCCAGGGCAGCGAGGAGCTGCTGCTCTCCATGGAGCACATCAAGCAGATCATCTGCATCCTGCGGGACTTTATCCACTCCCCTGAAAGACGCGTCATGGCGGCCACCATCTCCAAACTCAAACTGGATCTGGACTTCGACTCCAACTCCATCAACCAGATCCAGCTGGTGCTTTTTGGCTTTCAGGACTCGGTCAGAACCAGCACAGTCACTGGGATTAACATCAAACATAAACTTATAGAAAATAACGCTTCGTATTGCATTTTTTAAAACACGTGAGGGGCAATAAAAACAGAAAATTAGATAGATGGCTGTGACAGCTGGATGCAATATTTGCTAAGATTTGCTAAATCTGGAATTTCTTGGTTTGTTTAATATTGCAGGCATGTGACATGTTTATATTTTGGACTATTTTGAAAGTCTCTGATGCTCCCAGGTGAACAAGGTTCTGCGAAATCATCACATCAAACCTCACTGGATGTTTGCCATGGATAACATCATCCGCAGAGCCGTGCAGGCAGCCATCACCATCCTCATTCCAGGTGGGAAAATTTAACTCCTGCAGCTTCCTAATGGTGAAATCTAGACATTTCCTCCCTGATATTGCACTAAATCATGTCATATTCTTGTCTGTAGAAGTGAAGAGTCAGTATTTTACCCATCATCAGTGGTTTAAAAGACCAAAATTATCATTTAAGGAAAGTTTTACAACTTACAGTTGACTTTTTAAGTGCTTCATTAGCAGTGAAACTGAAATTATTATTATTAGCATGTCATATTTGGCTGATTAAGCTCATTGGTATGCATCATCACACATGAACTTTACATGAACTGAATGTTTTGCACATTCACCGTGTAGATTTATGCAACAATTCATATTTCCCAGAAGGAAGCTTCATCCCCAATATGAGAATCAATGAGAGAGAAAATTGTTTCCTGTTAAACATTGAAAGATGTTATTTAGTGCTAACAGGATCTTAAGCAGACAGCTAATCAGGCTAATGGCTAACCTGGATAATGTACAACTTTAGCAGCATAGCAAGCTAACAGACACTCGAGCTAATAGACAAACCTGACAATTTCCAACAATAGCAGCAAAGTCTGTTAAAAAAATTACCATCTAAAATCTCTTAGATTAAAACTTGATGCTGACCTGAGGTTGTATAGGAAAGAAGGAAGGAAGGACGGATGGAAGGAAGGAAAGAGGGGAGGAAGGAAGGAAGGAAAGAGGGAAGGAAGGAAAGAGGGAAGGAAGGAAAGAGGGAAGAAAAAGGATCCTTTTCTCTGCTCCTATCAATCAACATCCCAATGTTTTGCAGTTACAAAAAGCAACAACATGAAGCTAAAATGTTAAACAGAAGCTTAAAAACAAGGGAGGTTACATCACTAAGCCAGTGCAAAGACAATATTTGAATAGTGTATCAGGTTTACGTTGGGTTCAGGGATGTAATTGGAGCGAATAAGAGGCTTGACACAACGTCTGTGGGGTTGGGTTGTATTTTTTTATTTAAACTCTGAAACTGGGCAGCTCTTATCTGTTAAGATCAATTCTTTCCTTTGTCTTTGCAGATAAAGCGCCTTGCCCTTATTTTCATTCCTGTCGTTCTTTGGAGACGAATAGAGCAATGAGGAGAAACGGCAAATTCACCATGCAGCTCAGATGAACTTAGTCATTTTAAAATAAACAAACCTTCTGAGTCACGGAAATGTAAAACACTGAAATATTTACTCAAGCTGCCAAACAAGCTGTGATTGATTGATGCCGCAGGTGAAATATGTTGGTTTTATGGCGTAACATTTGACTTCGATGGCTGATTTTGACCTGCAGAGCTGCAGACCCACTTTGGGCCAGCCTCGGAGTGTGAGGGGGCGGAGAAGGACGACGAGGTGGACGAAGAGGAGGCCGTGTTCGGTCCCGTTTTAGCTCCAGCCTCGGACGACCCGGGCACCACGCCGGACCCCGTCCTGAGCAGCACCAACACGCTGAACTCCAGCCACACCCAGGAGCATCAGCGCTCGCACGCTCCGCTCGGCGCCCAGCTGGGGCGGCTCAAGCAGGAGACCAACAGGTACGCACAGAAAGACGCCTCAGGTTTCGCAATGAGCTTCAAATGAGGTGGAAATGACAAAATGTCTGTCGAAACTTTTAACGGAAACTTCCAGATAATCTCAGGCCGGTAATATGAGAAAAATGCTTATCTAACGCAGAATGTGAAGGTCAAGCGTAGACAGCAAACACGCCCAGAAGCAGCTCAGTCATGAGATGCAGTGTGACGCACACAGCCGGCCCAAGGCATACGTGAGCTAAGCAGCTGTTTAGCGCCCCAACACAATGAGGGGGCCTCCCAAAAGCGTCATTTCATTTTACTTTGTAGTGATAAACTGCATGTTTTCCACATTTTTATCACCGAATTTTACAAACAAGTTATTAAACTTGCTAACTTGTTTACTGTAAATTCAGTGTCTGTGTAGGCCTGTCCCAATAAGCAATACATCGATTAATCGCTTGATCCATTTGCATGATTTACCGTGCAGATGTGTGTCTGTGTCTGGTAAATTTTTGGTTAAAGCCCATCCTCCTTCAGCTGCATCATTTTATGCACCAGGACACAAATATTTGTCTTTTCCAGTTTCGCAAACAAGATTCATGAGTTTTTAGTTGTGTTGGAGAACGGGAAAAACTTCCTAGGAATGTTTTTAATTACGTCTTGGTACATTAAAAACCTGAAATTGAGTGCATCGAGTATCAACGTGGTATTTGGAATAACGACAAAAACAACAAAGATTGTATCCTTTAAACACTATGACAACTTTGTAATGAAAGAGGACAGTTTTGATTTCGTCAGGATGTGCAGAAGGTATAATTAACATGTCAGCACCATAAGGTGGCAGGAAGAACTAAAAATGTTTCTCCTGTTCTGACTGACGCGACGCCGACGGAGAGAACCAGAAACTTTTCCCCCCAGGACTTTTAGAAACAGTCGAACATGAAAGATTCGCTCAACCGTTTGTTCGTGTCTTCCAAAGTTTAAATGTTTTTTCTAAATGTATCAAATTTTAGTTATGCCTTAAATTTGTACCTGCTGTTTCTGCAGACTTTTTATATTGTATTTGTTTGAAATTCATGATACTAAAGCCTAAAAAAGTTCAATATGTTGGATTTTTTCCTTCTCTGCAGACCTCCAGTTCTGCAGAATAAATACTTTTGTGTTGTCTAAAGTCATTTAATATTTAATATTAGGTGAGTTATCAGTTTAGCCTACCTAAGCCATTTGTTGTAATTCATGTAATGTTAAACTTCCATCACAATCATCTCAAACAGTTTCAAAATGAACTCTTTAAAGCATCAAACTTCCTTGTCCTTCATTCAGATTCAAACTGAATGTTAAATAAATGTCTGAATGTTCAGAGGAAATTAAAGGCTCACTTTTCTTTTGGTTGTGTAATATTTGTTGTGCTTCTGCTGCTGCAGAAACACCAAACAGCCAAATCTTAGCAATTAGGAGTTAATTATATGGTTTGTATTTGCTGGATAATTACTTACACAGTTCAAAGCAATGTTTTCATGTTGTTTATTGGGAACACTTGAAGGAAAATTAAAGCTGAGCTGATGTGTAAAACACTGTGTGGCTAACCTGATAGAAGTGATTCAGTTTTAATAAAACACTTCATGCGTTGTGTCTCTTTTGGATACAGAGGATTACATCTGCATCCTGAAGCAGAAACATATTGATGTATTTGAAGTAAAACACGTATTTCTGCTTTTTTCAGTCAGACGTTAGTGTTTGGTTTCAGGTTGTTAAAAGATCGACTTTGTGACGTGGATGAAGGAATTATTTTGTGAAGGAAGATGATAAATGTAACAATATTTTTAATGTAACAATGTTTCCTGATGCTACAAACCTGTACTGACAAGTTGTTTCACACAAGCCATCATTTGTTTCAGTAAATGGAAACTTAGGAGTTCGTTCCGTCCCGCATCCCCGGAAAATAAAACAAAATCACTGACACGTCATGATATGTGAACAAAGTTTGTGGAAAGTAAATAAACGACGACAACTTCAGATTTTTCACCTTTTATTCGGTCTAGTGGAGGCGAGCCAATGTGGAATAATTTGCATTTTTATCGTTGTCTCCTGCAAACTACCGTTGGAGTTCTTGGCACAACTTTGTCTTCCTCCATAAAGAGGTTAAAAGAAACAATCTAAAGAAACAATGTATAGATTGAGTTGCTTTTTAACATCTTTACAGGTCTTCCTGTATTCGTCTTTTCAGCAGTTTGGTCTCTTGTTCTGTTTATAAAATGCTTAAAGTTGATGTTTAACAATCATCATGACCCAAAGTCTCCATCGGCCCAGCGGGTTTATGCCCAGTCCAGTCCGGTTTCACCAGATGCAGAAGTCTTCATTTCCACTAAACTTTAACCAAATGTATCGTGTATTGGGAAGTAACTACTGACATTTACTCAATTACATTTACTTGATTAAGTTTTCTTATTTTAAAAAAGTACTTTTAGGAGTATTTTTACTTTTAGCTGAGTAATTTCTTTTATGAAGTATTTTTACTCCTACTTGAGTAAAATTTCTGGATTTTCTTCCCACTGAAAGAAAAACAAACATGTTTTAACCAAAAATTCACCAGCCACAGACACACACCTGCATTTTGAGTTAAAGTTTTATAAGTTTTTTTATTGAAAAAAATTATTTTTCTTTTGTCAGATTTTGTTGTTTTTTGTTACTTGTGTGGTTTATTGTCATTTTAGTAGTTAAAATACCAAAATCTCCTCTTAACTTTATATTTTGATGTTTTTAAATATTAAAGGATAACTTGATCACTTTTACTTGAGTAAAAATATATTGAAGTGGTGCTACTCTTGCTTCTCTTACTTGAGTAAAACGTTTGGGTCCTCTGCCCGTCTCTGGTGTTCTGGTGACACGTGGGCTCGGTGTGGCTGCAGGTTGCTGGAGGAGCTGCTGCAGAAGGAGAAGGAGTACCAGCATGTCCTGAAGGCCACGCTCCAGCAGAGGACTCATGACTTGGAGCTGATCCGAGTCAGGCACAGACCTCCAGGTGAAAACACTGACTCACGTCTAGTGGCACAGACAGATACTTGCTTCATGTTTATTGTTTTTACATCCTGTGTTTGCACATGGCGATTCAATGGCTGCTTTCCGTTCGCCTGAACATGTCGTTGTGATGATATAAAAGTACAATAAGTTCCTAACCAAATTATCCTCTTTGCACCTGCCAGAAATCAAATCTCGCATAGACACATTTAGCATAGCGAAACTTATCATATTAAGATAACCGAATATCTAAAGGTTTATTAGGAACTCTGACATGGTTGGGTTTTTTGGGTTTTAGAGTGTTTTCCCACCTGATATTCCGGTAGACTGGGTTTGATTTGGGACCAAAATTGCAACATTTGTTACATTTTCGGCTGCAGCTCGCTTTCAGACTGCACTAAAGAACCAAACCATTTGGAAAAGCTGTTCCCCTTCTCGCCTGTGGGGGCGCTGCACAAAGAACCACTGAAGGAAAAAACACAAACACCTCCAAAGACGACAATGAGCACAACTTCCTTCATTCAAAATGTAAACAAAAGTGGAGTAGATTTTAGAGGTTGTAGGATTTCTCTTTTGTTTTTGGTAAAAGAACACGAGCAATTTCGCCCCCTAGGAATACATTCACATTTATTTTGATTGTAATTACCCAGAATGCCTTGCGCTTTAGTCCACTTCTGGGTTTCCCCCTGAAAACTTGCTAAGCCTGATGCTCGGGGCGCTAGGGCAGTCATTCATCCAACCGGCAGCCATGTTTTTGAGTTAAAAATGTTTAAAGTTGACAGGAAATTGATAGTTATGCATTATTTTAAGACTGGAAATTAATACATCAACACCAACTATAAAGTCTTAAAAAAAGGCAATGATTAAAAAAACTAAAATAAGTAAGGCTAAGTCTGGTGGGGGCACAAATAAAGCCTGGTGGCCCGCCAGGCTTATAATACACTGTGGGAAATCATGCACTTCCTGCTTTTGGAACGGTTTCTGGTCCAGTCGGCGTTCACATATGCATTCAAACCACACCAGAGTTCACTTCAACCGAACTGGGACCGAGGTGAACCAGAGTTCACTTTTTTGCTCTGCATCAGAGTTCGAGTCCACATTCACACCTCCACAAACGAACCGAACTAAAGCGCCGTTAGTCTCTGTATTCAGTTCAGAATCCATTTCCTGGAGAAGAACCGTCAGGAGGGACCACTAAACCAATCAGAAGAAGTTTTGCTGATTGGATTAAATTATCTTTCTTATTTTTTTCTTAAACATTTCCTGTTTAAAAAAACCAGAACTATCTCATGTTTGAACTTGTTACATTCAAAATGTTAAAACTGTGCTGTGTGGGCCCTGCAGGAGGACGAAACAGAAATATGTAAAAACAATTAAGTGACATCAGTTGACTTAAAGTTTGGGAACAAATTGATCTTTCAAAAGGACGATGCCCCTAAGCTTCAACAAATTAGTAACAAAATGGTTTATGTCAGAGGCCAAAGATCTCAGTCCTGCAGGAAACTTGGGCGGAGCTGGAAAGGTTCTGACAAGTCGAGCTTGTAAACCCGTTTCTGTTCCACCAGTTCTGTCAGAAGGAAACGGGCAAAACTCCAACAGACTGTCAGGACACGCTGCAGGGATCCAAGTCACACAGTTTAAATGATATTTTAAACAAATACACTGCAAAAACACAAACTCTTACCAAGTAATTGTGGTCTAGTGTCTAGTGCAAATATTTAGTACATTTGAAATAAGACAAAACTAACTTACAACTAACTTTTCAGCAAGAAATGGGAGCTTATTTTACATCAATAAATATTGGGAAGGATGTTCTGGTTCTGCTGTCACTTTTAAAAACACATTTTTCCCTTGTTATAAGTGAAATAATTTGCCTCTTTTTCATCAGTATTAAGGATTTATTTACTTAAAACAAGCTCCTCATTTTCACTGAAATGTTGTTTGTAAGTTCATTTTGCCTTATTTTCATTATATTAAGATATCTGTAATAAAAACTAAACCAAAAATACTTGGTAGGATTTTGTGTTTTTGCAGTGTACAAAGAGAATATATATTAAGAGCTTTTGGTATCTTTGCCATTTGTATAACTGTGTTATTATTGTTATTAAACCTAAATTTCCCATTTACCATTTATCCGGCTGTGATGTTGTGTTTGTTGTGAAGCTCTCTGGTCAGCTGATGCTGCTGTAAATGTGCTTTATAAATCAAACTTCAAGTTTGATTAAAAATTCTCAATATTCTGGCTTTTATTGAGAAATAACCAAATATGTCGACTTCTGCTCTAGTTCATTTCTTCCTACACGATTTGCAGACTTAATTTGTGCATTTTGTCAATTTCCTGAAAAATAAATGCATAAACAGTTTGGCTCTGAAACTTAGGGGGTTAACGATGGGGATTTTTCTGTTTCCGATTGAGAACAATGTCTAAACAGAGTTGGGAATGACAAATCTGATAAAACAAACTGACAACTAAAGCTGCGTGTGATTGATGGGAGGTGTTTTGTGAATAAATAATAATAGTTAAGGAAGTTAACCAGGAAGAAAAGAAGATAAACAACTTGAGAACCTGCAGAAATAAAAGGAACAGCATGAAAACAACAGAAAGGTCTATTGATATTTTAACTGTTTAATTGGTTTTATCAGTATATTCTGGCACAACTGGCCCTTTAAGAGCATTCAGGTTTCTGATATGGCCCAAAATGAAAATGAGTTTGACGCCTCTGCTTTAAGCAAAAAAACAGAAAATCATAAAGACAAATTAAGAAGAGAGTAAAGTTTCTGTTGAAGTTGAAGTTTGTGCTTCCTGGTTCAGACGTTTTGCCTCCCTCCATCCTTCATGTCCCAGCGGACTACGAGCCGGACAAGCAGCTCACCGATTGGCTGAAAGAGCAGGGGGCGGACCCAGACACCATC